GCTTTAAATCTAGATAAGTCGGAAACTACAACATGTTTCTCAATCCCTAGATTTTCCACTCTGGATGGGAAGTTAAGGGAATTTCAGTATAAACTTTTACATAACATCATCTTTTGTAATGATAAATTGTATCTTTTTGGATTAACACAGTCAAATTTATGTTCCTTTTGTAGAAAAGAAGTAGAAACCTATCGTCATATTTTCTTTGAATGTTCTGAAGGGTCCAGAATATGGAATGAGATGGGAAACAGTTTAAAGATGTTTCAGTTTCTTAATATGCAATGGATTGATGTGTTGCTTGGTTTCAGAAAAAATATGAAAGATAATATATTGTTAAATCATGTATTGATTTTGGTCAAATATATGATTTACAGTAATCGTAAAAAAGGAAAGTTCCCATCTAGTAAAGAAATATGTAAGGCTGTAGAGAACTCAAAAAAAGTTGAACATGAAAAAGCAAAATTAAAGGACAAACTGCCAATACATTATCAAAAATGGGAAAATTTTACCCCTTAAGGCAGGGGAACTGATTGTATTATATTGTAATTCCTGTTTCCTGTTCACTCCCTCACTTTCTCATCGATCCGGAAACTTACCTGCTATCGTGTTTGCTTTGGTGTTTATATTTTATAACGGTATGGAAGACCTCTACTGATACAAGACCCTTATATAGTTAAAATAAAAAATGCACCATACCATTATATGTAAATATAACAAATTTTGTTATCATGGTTTATGAAGCAGCACCTTCACCTTATACTTTTTGTTTATATAAGAAAATCTTTGTTCAGATTGCTTAATTTATATTGAATTAATTAATTTGCTTATTATGCTGTAAAAATTGTTCCTTTGTATATTGTTGTATCCAAGTATTATCGTCACCTTTTCCTTTTTAAAGGAATTGGAGCATATTCTGTACACTTGTTTTGAATGTGTACTTTATTAGTTTGGATACTCATGGAAAATATTTTTTGAATATGCCTGTGTTTAAAATGTATGAGACAATGTACTACATGTATGTTTATACTGTAAGAACAATTGTGTTCCTATTCATCATTTTGTATAATTATGAAGACCTGAATAAAGGCAAAAAAGCTTTAAAAAAAAACAAAAAAAACAATGAACTATCAAAAAAAAGTAAATTCTTTAGATTTGTGACCACGATTGGTACGTCCCTTGAGAAACCAATGCCAGTAAATGATGAGAGAAAATAGAGGCATGAATGGCCTGCCATAGTTAAGTCCAACTTTAAGTCGATCTTAGTCTTTGTGAAACACTCTCCACGAACCTCTAAGAAACAGCTTGTGATTGTATGTGAGGCCGCTATCAAGGTAGACACAATAATATTAAATTAAAGAGCGAAATAAATAAAACTTACTAGGAAAATATACGTACATTGGGAAGAAGAAAGAAATATAGGACCGACCATTAACTATCAGCAGGTACCACCAATGAATATGAACTCACCCACAATCACACACAAACACACAAAAGCAATACAAAAAAGGAGAGTTCAGAATGAGAAAGAGAATAAAGGGAAGAGATGAGAAAGAGAAAGAGAAGAAAATGAAGAGGTGGGAATGAGAAAGAGAAGAAAGGGAAGAAGTGAGAATGAGAAAGGGTCTACTCAGTCAAGGATGACATTGTTTTAAAAAATGTAACGTTTGAATAGAGTTCTAACACAAGAAAGTGTAGAGCTGAATTTAAGGTTATTAACAAATTGAATTACATTCATGTACTCCTGTAATTCGGATAGAATGGGTTCTTATATCTGAACGGGTAATGGGAACACAAATATTATCCCGTGTACGAGTGTGATACGTATGGAGAGAAGAATAAGTTCTAAACATATTATCGAAAAATACTAGGAGAATCCCTTTGTGATTCTTAAACATAAAAACTGATATAATAAGTTTTAATAGTTCAAACTTTGGGAGAATTATAATTTAACAAAATTGTATACTGGGATTACGACTGTCACCTTTTTTTATCAGTCGTATTGCACGATTTGTAAAAAATATAGTTTATCAGAAGAGATTGGGGGCATAAAATATCTGAGTTTGGATAAAACACCCATCTGCATAGTGAGACTAGGTTGAGGGCATACTGCAAAGGCTCTACTTAGCTGATTTGTTGCAGCCAGAGACTGGCAGAGCTATACTCTGCTCAATGCTTTAGGATTTGTGGTAACGTGTCAAATTGGAGTCTGTGCGTGCAGGCTAGTTTGAAAAAGAAGTCAGTCACTCAATAGTGTCTGACGTCTGACAGTGAAGTCTAGAAAGTAAACGGGTTTCCTTGCATAATTTGAATGCAAGGACACTGCTAACGTTTAAATTTCACAGATAGGACATACGTGACATATTCATAATTCCTGCAATGATCTACATGCAGAATTTGATGTTGGCTGCAAAAGGGATATATTAACTTTAAAATGTATATCTTGCAGATGCAGAGTCTTGGAATAGCGTACCCAGAGGCTGGGACATGCGAGAAATTTACCCTGCACTTTTTATTTTGCGATTTTGCAATTCGAAAAGATTGACATGCGGGTACAAAACAATACTTATTAAAATTCCAAAGAAAAAAACTAAAACTAAAAGAAGAGCAGGGGGTGGCGAAACACTCTTCATGCAACAAAGAACTGATAAACTTACCATTAACAGTCGAATTTGGGTGAATTTCTAGGTGTTTTGTTCTAAGTCATTTCTGGATTCAAATTTGTCATTTTCATCCCCTTTCCTCTCTTCTTTTTTGTAGAATTTTTGTTCGCTTTTTTTTTTACCCCCTTAAAACAAAAAATCTTCGGGAGGGGGGGGGGGTAGGAGCGATTCCCATTGCCCACTCCCTTGTAATGTCAATGCTTGGGGGCAACCAAATGTACTGCGGTCTAACGTCTCAGAGTACGACAGGGACTTGGAATGCGTGAGTCCCTTTCTTCTTGAAGATTACCCCCAAAACAACCAAGTTTCCAACGAAGAGGAAATTGTACGAGGTCAGGACGAGTTTCAAGTCCGACACCAGCAGTACCAGTTGCTGCGCATCGTTGACGGCAATTTGGGAGGATTTCTTGCAGAGTACCTCACTTATGTCCCACTCGGACATGAAACTGCCGTCGGTGCGTTCAAACATACATGCCGCCCTATCCTATATGTTGGCAACGTATACACGGTTCGGCTGAAACACGAAATATAACCAAAAATAAAATTGAACGAGGCTGCTTTCATTGATTATCCAGAGAGGTGAAAGAAAAGGAGAGGAATCAAGCCCCTTCCCTTTGACCCCATGCTCCAAGCCGTCGACAAGTTATGCGCTAATTGTTGACCAGGTGGTGAGATAAAAGAGCGCATGAAATTTCAGAATTTAGAATTCTTACATCAGAAAATGGTATTGCAGCAACTGTTCGCTGTCTCTTTCAATGATTTCTCATCAATTGTTGAATGTGTAATGAGTAGAACAAGCGAAGACAAACTTCAGTAATTTCATCCTGTTTCCCAACTGCAAAAATACAAAAAACACGTGAAAACACGCATTAGCAACGTAAAGTTATCGAAGATTGTAAATCATGGATTAAATATTGGGACATTAGAACATGCACAAATTAGCGCATTATCCAAAAATGTTGAGTTTTTGTCAGGATCTAATTTTTTCTTTTACCAACTCTAGCACATAAATTATAGGAAGGGCTGAGAACTAAATTTGAAAAATTGTTTGATGCACTATTCCCAATACAATCCCCATTTAAAGTTGATAATTTACACTGAAATTTTGCCGGTAGTTTGATATTTTGTAATAAATGTAAAACTGGCGCCTGGCATCCGAAATTCCCCGCAGTGGAAGCGCGGCTAGGAGCATGGAACTTCAAAGCCAAGTGGAATGTTACACATCACATTGTTACTCTTTAAAACTCACGAATGCGTTTGAATAAATTACAAGAGTTTCCACTCCTTTCTTTCACCTCCCTGGATTATCCGAACGTATAATGTAATACAGCAAACAGTCGAACCTTGTTAAATAAGAGGTCCATGTGACGTTGCAGATTACCTTGATATAATAGGAACTTGTTTTTATATCAGGAAAGCAAACAATGAAGAACAAGGAATTGGGACTTTTGTCTTTGCTATAAGCAGAATGCTGTATTAAAAGTGTTCCTATTATTGAGGTTTGACTTTCCGTTTAACCAATATTATGGAGTGAACTTTTACTTCTGGAATCTAGAAAGTACCTTCCACCGGCACTCGAATGTTTTGTTCCTTCAAACCTATTTAAAATTCCATTCGTGTCCCATTTTCGCATCACAGTAGGCCTACATAGGAGGTATGAGAGGCGCAAACGAGACATAATTCGAGGAATCTTTAGGTCCATGTCTAGTTTGTAGATATTTCTTTCCTTTCAGTTTGTATTGTTTATTTAAAGGTAGTATAAACGTGTTTTTTAACAGTGCGATCCAGTATAAAAAGTTTGGAGCGAAATAGTCACATTTCAGCTCCAACAATTTGGATGTTAATATTTGAATCACGCATTGTGTATTGTGAAAAAGAACCACAACGGAGTCTTTGCCCTGTGGTCATACTGCAAACATTTAATTCGCTTGAGAAAGCCTAACTAGCTACTTAAAACTGCCCACGTCGCCGCGTTGTGACTCGCGCCCTTCCACAAACGGGCCTGCGGTCAATAGCGTACACCGCGGTACTGATCACTTGGTCGGTTCGCGACACTGCATGCTCGCTGATCACAACAGGCCTATATGCAGGGGCGGATCCAGCCGGCGGCAGGGGAGGGGCCCAATTCGAGAGAAAATATTTAGCGGCGAAACAGCCGCACTGTAAAAATTTGCTGTAACTCATGCAGTAAAATACTGTGATTTACAACAGTAATATGTTGTAATAACGATTTTACGATAATTAACTGTATAAGTACGTTGCTGTACAGTATATTGCTGTAAACATCAGTGTCGTAGAGCATGGGAACAAATATCTACAGTAAGCTAGTATAAAGGAGCGTGCAAAAAGCATTGTGGGATACAGCGCACATGCGCATTAGGCGGATCGGCTGCATATGCGCGTATGCGTTGCACGTGATTGGCTCCCGCGCTAGCCCGCCACGCCGCGCCGCCATTTTTAATTTTCTGCAAAGATTTGAGCTGAGATAGCTGAGCTGGCCGGCCTGATCCTGAGCAACGAATCTGAATCTGTTCTGTTCCTGGTCCTGATCCTCGAGCTGGGATATTGATGACCAATAAGTCAATTCCAAGGGGATCCGAGGTAAGTTACAGATTGCCAATTATCAGAGTCATGATTTGATTTGTATCCCGCTGAAGTGAAGAATTGTCAGACTGTGGAAAGTATAGGGATTGTGTTTGTAATTGTTCCGTCTACGGTATATGTGTACTGTACGTGCTGTGCTGTGGTGTGTGGGACAGAGTCGGTAGTGTTAGTGCAGCACATGACACTGTACTGCAGTACCAGCGTACAGTGTCACTGTCAATGCGATGCCATTGCACATGGATATGCATGCTCACGTTAAATTGGAAATGTCTAACGTCAAGACCATCAAGACTTATAACTTATACGACACCGCACACACTACGATCGACTACAGCATCAGTCCATCATGAGCACACTGCGTGATCAGTTGAATACGCACAAGTCTAAGCTCATGTAGTGTAGTCTACAGCACGTTACTGAAGAAATTACAGCAAAGTACTGGCAATCCTGCTGCATAGTGTAATTTTACTTAAAAGTTAAAATATGAAATAAAATTACAGTAAGTTACTGTAAAATTACTTAGTATTTTACTGTTACTTAGTAATTTACAGTAAGTTACTTTAAAATTACTGTAATTTACTGTAAAATTACTGTAATTTACTTTTTTGAAGGTCGCAGCGTTGTCATAGCAACCAAATAGGCCATTCCGTAACTGGCAGTAAGTTACTGTAAAATTACTGAGTAATTACTGTAATTTACAGTAACTTACTGCTAGTTTACAGTAAATTACAGTAATTTTATTTCATATTAATTTTGAGTACTTGTCTACTGTAATTCACTGTAATTTTAATTTACAGTAACTGTAGGTTATATCTACAGTAAGTTACCATCAATTTTTACTCAAAGTATCTGCCTGTAAACTTTCCTACAGTAAATCACTGCATTTCTTAGAGTAAATTGCTGTTACCGTAGGTTCTTCAAATACTAACAGTAAATTACAGTAATTTTTGTCTTTAAGGATTGTAAATTTGTTTTACAGAAATCTATTGTAGTTTCATTTACCGCAAATGAATGTTAATTTCACTTATGTAGTAACATTCATAGCCGTGAAATCAAATGTTTTTTTGCGGAAGGTTTCGCATACAGTCATCATCAGGAGGCTCGTGACAACTGGTTATATTTGATGAATTTATGTTTTTCTTTCGATTTTCTTTTGTATTTTTTGTCCTTTATCTTTTTTTTTTATTATTCATTTGTCATTTAAATAACTTTTAATCTGTCAATGCTGTACATAAAAAGTTATGTGTACGTATGCATATTAAAGGTATTGTTTTCCGCTTTTCTTTCTTGCAGTATGCCATGGATTACTGCTGAAGTCACACAGTGTGCATGCTGAAACACTAATCAGACGGATGCTCTACATGGACATCATATACCCATGTACGTTTGTAAGCTATGTAATCATTCTTCTGGATCATTGAAGCGGTTTTCTGAACACTTTTCAGTCCATAGAAATGTGGTGAATTTCGATTTCCCGTGTGGTGTTCCTGGCTGCAATCGAACATTCAGAAATTATTCATCCTTCAAAACCCATGTGCATAGGGATCATCAACCATTTTCAAGAAAAAAAGATGCCCAGTTTTTCTGCGTTTCTACCTGGAATTGTCCACTCTGTGCTGTAAAATGTGAGGAAATCCATGACATACTTTCTCATCTTAGAGTTCATATCAAACACGGAGTTGAAATACGCTGTCCTTTTGCCAATTGCAAAAAACGTTTTTCAGTGAGGTCGTCTTTTGCGTCACATATATCAAGAGTTCACAATAAGTTAGACCAGATTCAGTTAGACTCAACTTCAAGTGAAACTGGTACTGTGTTAACTGAATCCGCCCAAGAAAATAATCAGGAGTTTCCTGGAAGACTGCACTCAAGTGACGAGGAAAGTGTGACAGATGATGAAGTAGATGTATCCGCTGACTCATTCAAACACAGCTTATCCTTGTTTTATCTGAAGTTGGAGGCAAAATTACTACTGCCCAACTCTACAATTCAGGAAATAATTGACACAGTTCAGGATATTCATGCATTAAGCCAACAAAATTTGATACCAAAATTAAAAAAGAAACTTGAAGGAATAGGAATTACCGATGATGAGGTTACCAACGTTTTAACTTTATTTAAATCTGAGGATTTGTTCAGTGCTTCAAATTGTAAAGAATTTCGATCAGAGTCTACAAGAAAATCACATTTTAAAGCAGTTTTTGATTATGTTTCCCCAACTGAGATATATTTAGGAGAAGATCAGTTTGGCAAACAGCGATTTTGCCAATACATTAAAATTCAAGACACACTAAGAGCATTATTCAAGCAGAACTCATTTATCAAAGATTACAAAGAGACTCATAAAGCTCAACCTGCTTTACAAAGGACCATTCTACGTGATGTTTATGATGGCAGAGCATTCCCAAAAGATGAGCCTTTGCATAAAAACTCAGCAGTAACACTCATATTGTACCAAGATTCTTTCGAAGTAGTAAATCCACTAGGCAGTGGGAAAAAAAAACATAAAATTCTAGCTGTGTATGCTACCCTCGCTGATATACAGCCCTACAATAGATCAAACATTGATCATATGCAATTGGTGTTGCTCTGCAACGAACAGGATTATAAGGAATTTGGAGCCAGCGCTGTTTTTAGTCGTCTCATCAGTGACCTTCAGTCATTAGAAGATAGTGGTATTATTCTGGATGACGAAACATGTGTTAAAGGTACACTACTCGCAATCGCAGGAGACAATTTGGGGTCTCATAACATTGGAGGTTTTACCGAGAACTTTAGCACAAGCCATTTTTTTTGTCGCTATTGCATTATTCGGAGGGACTCTTTTCGAGAGAACCCACTTGCAACAGGTAGTATCAGAACAGAGGAGAACTATAAACAAGCACTACATCCTACCAATACTGACGAAAATGTGATTGACGGTGTCAAGTTTGATTCCATTTTCAATAAAGTGTCAAACTTTCATGTCTGCAAGCCAGGTTTACCACCTTGCCTGGGTCACGATCTTTTCGAAGGAATTGTTTCTGTAGACTTGTCATTGTTCATCTGTAACCTTGTCAAGGTGAAGAAATACTTCACCTATGAACAACTGAACAGGTCAATAACTCAGTTCACTTATCTTGGAAGTGATGTCAACAACAAACCTTGCACAGTAAATGTGAATGGAAAAAAGTTAGGAGGTCATGCAGTCCAGAACTGGTGCCTGTTGAGATTACTTCCTGTGATAGTTGGCAACAGAATAAAGAATCCTGTAGAAGACAACGTATGGCAGCTTTGTTTGAAACTTCGAGAAATTGTTGAGCTGATATGTGCATCAGTAATATCTACTAACCAAATAGCTTATCTCCAGGTTCTTATTGAAGAATACATCAGCGATGTGTGTGATATATTTCCAGAATACTCGCTGAAACCAAAGCACCACTTCGTTTTGCATTACCCATGGCTCATATCTCAGTTTGGACCGTTGATTCGTCTTTGGACGCTACGGTTTGAAAGCAAGCACACTTTCTTTAAACAATGTTGCAGGAAACTTCAGAATTTCAAGAATGTGTGCAAGACACTTGCTCACAAGCATCAGCTATTACAGGCTTACCTTGGTGCAGGTTTCTTGTTCCCTCCCACTTTGATAGTAGAGAAGAGTTTGCCATTTGCAGCAAATGCATGTCATGAGAAGATAAAGACTTGTATCTCAAATTGTAGTTTCTACAGCAAAGAGATGGATGTACATGTAGCACACAGGGTAACATATAAAGGCACAACCTACAAAAAGGGCATGTTTGTTGTTCTTGGTCGATCTGAAGATGAACTTGTTGTTGGTCAAATTGAACTTGCTTTAATTCATATGGATTCCCTGTACTTTGTTACACAGGTGCATAATGCAGTGCGCCTAATAGACTTGGGCGTTTATGATCTTGTTGACAATCCTGGTAGCGACAGTGACCGAGAATTCAGATGTGTGGCTGTAGAGAAATTATTAGACTTCTACCCATTGCCAATGTATAGTGCTTTTGGATGTTGCTTAATACCATTACACCATGCTGTTGTAGATGAATAACATTTTACAAGCAACTCTACCAGCTAGTATGCAGCTCACTCGTCAAATATGTGTATTTGAGAAGATATTCTGAATATTTACATAGAGCCTACTTCTACATGTCATCAAAACATGTTCATGTACATATACCTTTAATAAATGTTTGATTGTTGGATGATTGCAGACACTTTTGCACATCTTCGAAAGGGATCATGGAAAACATAAGGAAGGAAGTCAAGTCTGTGCTACCAATGTTATCAGAGCCACTGCTGGATGCTATTCTAGAAAGACTACGCTCCAAGGGGGTTGACACCAGGGATGATCTCCAGTTTGTACAGGAAGATGATATTGTAGATCTGATAAAGCCGATCCATTGCCGTAGGCTCCTTTGTACCTGGAAAGAGACCGGTATGTCGTTTACATGTAAATTAAAAAGTGTATACAAAAAAGAACATTTCCATCGAATATGTTTTTTCCCCCCTCTCTTCCATTTGGTACATGTATGACATAAAAAAAAGAGAACATTTCTGCTCTGTATATCACTAAAATTAGATGTATGTGTCAGTTTTTACTTCAAGCAGCTTCATGTGGTTCTTCTTTCAGCCTACATGTATAATTTAGACCTTAAAAGCTTATTTCTTTCATAATGATAATGATGATAAATCATTTCACTGGCACACAGAACTTTATCCATGGCAATCTTCAAAATTATCTTAGGGGTATAAAAGTGATAAAGTATATGGTGTAAAAATTATACAATTTTGCTTTGTTACCAACTATTATGCTAACTTTAGAGCCTTGCCACGGCACAATGACACAGACACAACAAATTCTCGCCTGGTGTTTCATAAATTTCAGTATTCTAGTAATTTTAAGCGCGGGCTGGGGCAGAAACATTTCTCTGTTGTTCCATATTTATAAACGAGTTTTGATGCATTCTAATATTCTTCTGTACAAAATATTTACTTTATTTTCTAGAAATCAATCCAGATACAGTTACTACGCAATCTCGCAGCATTGGAGATGCATCGCCATCAGGTAGCAAAAGGCATGGTACAACCACAAGTAACTGGCCAGAAACAATTGATATCAGCGGAATAGACATGCCGGATCATATTGCAGTTAAACTCGAGGCTGGAGAGCGTCTTTCGCCTACTGAAAGGAGCAATGCAATTCGAGGTTTTGTAAGTTTGATGATGAAACATGACCATAATCCGATAAGATCCAAATGTGATATTGTTGCCAGGAGAATTGTAAGCGAATGGCCACAGAGCTTTTGTGACATGAATGAAGACAGAAGCAAGCTTGGTTCCGGTCATTATTCCCTTCTTGCCCAAATGAAAACGCGTGTAGAGCATGTAAATAGGAACAACACACTGACTCGGCATAGGACCAGTAGAAAGCCAAAAGAAGGAAGCAACAAAGTCACTAAACCTACGGACGTATACGGATGCATCAAATGGCAACCCTCTCTTCCAAAGGGAGAAACGTTGGAGTCTCTCGGTGAAAAAAAAGAGTCGCTGAAAGACATTTACACGCAAAGAGGCCCAGAAGAATCGTCTACAGGTGAAATTGACATTTTGATGGATCACACTTATTACCTGCAGAGAAAAATGATAAATGGAGCTCCACTTCCAGTTAGTGAGCTAAAAGAGCAGTGGCCTTATTTATTTGTTCCAGAGTTCTTCCAGAAGCACTTCAAAACTCTAACAGGTATCGATATCGCCACATCACTGCTAAAGTCACTTCAAGAGAAGGGGCTAACTATTCTCCGCTTTCTTGCAAAGGAGAAGTGGGAAGATCACAACAAAGTTCGGCCACTTATTCATCAGGTCGTGGCTGAAAAGGACGCTGTCGATATGCACACTGTTGCTGGTGCAGTTATTAAGGGGATGATGAGCTACTTCAAAGAAAAAGAAGACTCGCTTATCCTGAATGGAGATGTAAGATTTCAAATGTTGCATTTCAGTATTATTTTGTAACTTACTGTACTTTATAAATCTTAAAGGGAAAATTTACTTACAAAGTTGTGAGAGCTCAGCACATGCAGAATAATGAAACAAACAAAATGACATGAGTTTGAGCACAATCGCACCATCCTGTGGAGAGTTACTGTGACACCATTAATTCTAACGGGCCATTAACTAGGCAACTCTGTTTCTAAATGTGTATAATTAATATAAACCCAGAACAACTCTCAATATGGGTAGAGTACATAAATTTCACTAATTTCCTTACCCTGAGAGATCAGTTATTTGTGTGACCTTGACCTTTCATGAAAGCATGCAGAATAAATAACGTCCTAATATTAACTTAGTAACAAACACGTACATGTATACTTATGTTTTTGGTATGTAGTGTACAGGGCCTACATGTATGTGGAGATGCTCTATTGTGACATCACAGATTCTGGTAGAGTTGTTAATTTGAGAAAAACCTGGGTCCATTCATGCCATAGGATTTTAATGGTTACGAACTTAAACTTTGGAAAATCATAGCTCTACACTGGATAATCGGAATTTGCACAAATGTTTTGTCTTTTGTTGAATTTTTTTCTGCATTCAATAAACTTCCCAAAATTTGTAAAGAAACCTCGACCCCCTTTAATGAACTGAATGGAGAAGTCGCTGAATTTAAATGTTACTAAAATTACTTTAATTTCTCACACCATTTATTATGAAACCATTAATGTTTGTGCTTAACACCTGATGCTTTTAATATCAAATCTGAGAGGACATTGCATAATCATTTTGAAACCTGAAGATAGACAGGGATATATATGTCAAAATTAAATAATTTGAGGTGAAACGCCTATGTGATGATTATCATCGCTTGATATAAATGTTCTTACTTTTTTGTCTATATTTTTAGGTGACTGCTACTCCTGAGGAGATTGAGGAGGAGACTCGTGACCACTCTGAATCGCCATATCTCGTCATCCAAGGTGCAGTTTGATTTCCAAACACACATCTTTAATAAATTGCTCACATGTATAAGTTTCCTGCGTTGAAGGTCATGCATTGTAATCGCCATGCAAAGGTCTTGAAATTTATATCAAGCTTGGTCTACAAAGTATGGTGATCAAGCTTGTCTCTTTTCTCATAATTTGCCCTTGCTCGTGCTCAGATAGGACTTTATCATTATTGATGTATATGGTCACCACCCTTCAAGGATTTAGAGGGAGAAATTCCACTGCCTTTTTTCATCAAAGTCAGAAAATTACCACAAAGATACACAAACATTCACATGCACACATACACATTCAAAAAGCGACTTGTAAATTTCCTCTCTTTTTGTGTGTGTAGGGGATGACACTACAGCAAAGTGGATGGTGGTCGTCGAAAAGAAAGTCATCGGGAAGTCAACACAAGCAGATGGTGTGATATGTGGAGTAGCCTATTTGCTGTGCACGTACTACAATCTCAATCTGCAATATCAGTCAAATGCATCGACGACATTGGAGTTCATTCAGCGGTAATTGCATGGTGAACTAACTGGTTAACTAATGTAGTCAAATTTATATATGCTTCTTCCACTTGCATTGGTCAGGTACAGATTATTCAGTAAATCTGTATCTGAAAATTAGGTAAATCTTGGGCAAGCTTTCTGGTTGTCATGAACAACCTTTGTGATAGAAGTAAGCAGTAAAGCATAAAATTTGAATATGTTAGTAAACCTGTCTATTATAAGCAAGAATATGCAGAAGTACCTTCATGAATTTGTGATACAGTCGCATTCATCCATTACATATATCCTTACAATAATTTGGCTAATCTTATGTGTATGTTCGCCTGAACATTTTCAGAAAAGACATGCATGATCTTGTTGCAAAATTTCAGCTTAATGTTCTCTAGATGGTCCTTTTGAAGGGGTTAAGAATTGTTGTAGTTGCTGTTCAGAATCGATACCATAATATGGGATGAATAGGGACTTGGGGGAGGGGGGGGGGGGGTTGAATAGGGACAGATTCTGGAAAAACACTTTTTTGTGTTATATTTCAAAAAGTAATATTTAATGCTGGATTGTTACATTCCTTGGCTTGTTATAAAAGGTCGGATAAGTGGCGAGTAAGTTTCTGGTAAATTCCGCGTGCATGACTGAAACTACAGTAGCTTGCGAATTTTTCCTTTGGTGTCTTTCAAAAACATAATGTAACTTGTGCCACGAAGGGCGGCTCGGCACACTTACTGGCAGGCACTGCATGCATGCACTGTGCTGTCCAGATCAGAGCGCTGCCATGGCCCGGGGGCCAGAGAGTTGAGTGGAGACAGATACAGATCTCGGCTGAGTTGAGCTGAGCTACGCACTAGACAACACTACAGAGAAGTACACTACAGAATGCATCTGGGTGAAAAATAAATATAAGAATGCGCAATATTCTTTGGAGTCCGGTTCCAATTACATGGCCAGTACTGATGGTGGACAGCAGATGATGTATGCATGTCCAAAATATGCACGCGTGCACATAAAGCTTGTCATGGCCCTGGCCCGCTGTGTACACATTAGTGTATAAATGTGGGTTTTATTATCATTATTTGTTGAAAGACACCATAGGAAGAATTGGCTTGCTAACATCAGACATGCATGCGCACTGAATTTACCCGAGACTTACCCTCAACTTACCCGGCCTTTTATAACAAGTCCATTTTTTTGGGGTATAGACATCTACATCAAACATGATAAAATAGAACAATTGATTTAACTGCTCTTGTGTAACATTAGAAGAAAACACACTGTCACAAAAGTAAAGAAAAGGCGTGAAATCAATTATTTTCATACGTTTTTCTTTCCAACAGTTGCTTGATTGGCATCAATCCAGACGCGGGATCAAAGTCTCATGGACAACAATGTAGCCAGAAGGTGATATCATTTATTCGCAAATTAGCGGATTTCCAGTGGTTTCATTAATAAGGGGGCAACTTTATGCCATCCGTGGATGACCCTCGTGCAGTCGTTCGGAAAAGTAGTCCATCCTAGTGAGATTTGTCATGGGCCATGGAATCCACTCATATAGGGGTACTTTTTATATCGCAACATGTCTGTTGTTCTGGAAAAAAAGGGGTTTTCCCCTCTAGGTACTTTACTGATGGGGATAGATCAGGGTAAATTTCCCGATCACAGAATACCTGGTATTCTCGAACTTCCAGTCAGTCTGAATACGCCTTAAGATATATATACTGGAAATGTCATTTCTTGCAAAATTTATAACATGTTCTGTATAATTATAAGAAGTGTATCTTAGTACAGACTAACATTCAGAACAAATTACAGGGGCGCCTACATACTACATCAATTTCAAAATTATCAATAAAAAAAAATCCCACTTACATTGAGTATCTGAACCCTTTACTTTCACACACTTTCTTAAAATTGTATTTGTGTCTTTTTGCCCTTTTTAGACATTTGCAAATGTTATGCTTGCAAAAGGGATCATGTACCTTTAATATGCATTTCAATTGAACTTAATATGAAACATCACAAGTGAAAATTGAAATTTGAAATCAAATATTTTGTTAGTGAGGGAGGTTAAAAAAGTCACGTGACTTCGTGGTATTAAGGAAGCCGTGTGTTTAGCCTTGATGCAAAGAGACCAACTACAGGGAGCCCAAACTTTTTTAATAAATTGTGTCTAGCGGTCATTGAACTTCCTAGACAAAGCATTAGCACATGTATTCTGTGAGCCTGGCATGTGTGCAGCCTTGTCATCATAAGCATTGCTTGATTGTTTACTTACTGTTTTCCAAAATATGTTTTACATTACTTGCAATTTAGCATTATTTTACCTTAGTGAATTTTCATATATTTTAGTCTGTACATGCAATACACCTTTATTTTAATAAATTTAATAAGTCATGAAATAAATGAATTTGCCAAATATTAGGCCTATATTTAAGTAACCTATATTTTATTTCGACATATTTCAAGTTATATAATAATATATTTTTTTTAAGTAACTTATATTTTATTACGATATATGTTACGTTATATGGTAATATGTTTTTTTTATCATATTTAATACGTAGCAATATTGTAGCTAAACGAATTTCATAATTTTATGTTTTCATTTTACATGTACACAAATTGATCATATTTTCTATTTTCTTTGTTCATTGTGCACATTGGTAATTCTATTTCATTAATTTCTGTATATCATGTATATTTTCTTATTGTCAAGTATGTTTTACGGTTTTTGTTATTTTGCACAGCCCCTTTGTAAACCAGCCGAGTAGCTGAATAGGGCTTTTACCGTCAATAAATCAATCAATCAATCAATTAAATGACAGCTCATGAAGTTGAAACAAGTTTCTGTGCAGAATTGGCATGTAAATGAGACAAAAATACAGAAGAATATGAAACACGTATTAAAGATTACAAGTTTAATATAACAGAGCAACTCAAATTAAATGGGGTATTAGTTCAAAAGATAAATTAAACAAAAATAAAGTGAGTAATGTCTTTTGGAGAGATTCTACCAGGTATAGAGAGTTTTCCTTGATTCTGCCAGGTATATGGAGACTTTTCATTGATTGTATTCTGATAGTAGTTGTCGTTTAATAGTGGCTTTAAAGGAAGATAAAAGTGTATAAAATATGTCTTGTTTACAATTGAAGATAATTCTTTACAATAGTTTTTTACAATTCAGAATTTTAAAGTGAACATATTGTTGTCTGTTCGACAAATAATTTTTGACCCAAGAAAGTGCAGTGCCCCTAAGCCATACGTTGTGATTTAGCATATCAATGCCTTAAAGCCGCTATGTCTGCACAATTGCATGTGTTATTCTGTCGTATAATTAAATTAATGCTAGGTCGGGTGAATGATTTTTTTTTAAAGCCATATTGGTTGGGATTAAGCAAGTTATGTGTATTTCAGAATTGGTATAATCTAAACAATTTTTTCAAGAATTTTTGAGATACTGGAAGGATGACTATGGGTCTGTAGATTCTTGAGTACTTGAACTTTTGCAGTTTTTAGTGGTTTTACTTGTTTTAATGTTTTACTTGATAGTTTCTTTGCAAGCATTTTCATAATGTTACACTATTTGAGAAACTTGTTTTATGGAGCGTTGATTACCCAATAAAGACTTTAATAATGATTTTTGTGTTCAGAAAGCTTGTTTTTTCCTCAAATTAACAGGATGATGCTGCTAATGTCAAGTTAGAATACTGTACTTATTACATTAACTTAATGTAAATGAGAGAAATAGATTAAAAAAAATAACAGGATGATACTGCTAATGTCACAGTAGAATACTGTACTTAATACATTAACTTAATGTAAATGAGAGAAATAGATAACAAAATAACAGGATGATACTGCTAATGTCACAGTAGAATACTGTACTTATTACATTAACTTAATGTAAATGAGAGAAATAGATACAAAATTAACAGGATGATACTGCTAAAGTCACAGTAGAAAAGCTGTACTTATAACATTAACTTAATGTAAATGAGAGAAATAGATACAAAATTAACAGGATGATACTGCTAAAGTCACAGTAGAAAAGCTGTACTTATTACATTAACTTAATGTAAATGAGAGAAATAACATTAATTTACTGTAGAGAAAAACTTACAGTACATAACTGTAAATACATTTAAATTACTGTGAATAAAATTACATTAATTAACTGTAAGAAGAACTTACAATAAATACTGTAACCTTATACATGAAAATTTCTTTACAGTAAGCTTACAGTATTTTAATGTCTTACAGCAAGTTACTGTTGAAAAACTTACAGGAAGTTACTGTAATGTCAAAGTTACAGTAATTTACTGTGCAACAAAGTTGCCAGTAATTTACTGTAATTTCTACAGTGAAATTTTTAACAGTGCGCGGCTGATAATTCGCTCAGGGGGGGGGGGGGAGGGGGTAGTGAGCATTAAGGGGAGGGGGGCATCTAAAAAAAAAAGGTAAAATTAACTTGTTTTTACACGTTTTTTTCCCCGGGGAAGGGGGCTCGGGCCCCCCTGGATCCGCCACTGCCTTTACGTGCAAGTCAGCATAGCCAGAATGAACCCATCCTTCCATTATCTAGAGGGCGCTGTTTAGCAGCAAGCATCAACTTCTTGTTACTGAACTTTTACATACAGTTTTTCTTCTTAAATCTTTCTTTTGGAACTGAACTGTGGATATTTATATGAATCCTACCGTCAGGCTCTCACAGTGCGTAACCTGTCCTCTCTGAGAAACAGAAGAGAACAGCTCTGTCTAAACTTGTTAGGTCCCTCTACTGTAACTTTCGTGAGTGGTTACATGATAGCCAGTGTTTTCGAAGACAGTTGAGACTTAGTAACAGGCTACGTGAAATCAAGTGTAGGACAGAACGCTACAGAAAAGTGCTTTACCCTATCTAGTAAAGCTTTTGAACCAGCCATGATGTGGCATCCGGTTTGTTCAACTTTTTTGATAGTATAATATTGCCAAACTTTGTGAATTACATGTATCTTTTCTTCAATATAACTTCAATTTCTGTATCAAGATACAAATTAGGTCATCTTCAGTAACCTCATTTCTTTCCCATGTTCTTTTTCTTTCTTTATATGAATTAATTGCCAGTTATCTAAAGCCTCTTTTAAATCACAATTTATTCATTATACTCATTTTCAAATTGCAATCTTTGCCTGAACACATCTACAATTCGCCAAATCTTAATGCATTATAGTTCAGATTCAATGAACTATCTTGGAATGAACAATTATATTAGTGCTAAATTTAGAAACATAATGTAAATATTCCCAATACGCTTTACCTCAATTTATCAGTTTTACTCTTCGTAGTGTATACTGTCGATTTCATAATTACATGTTTTATCTTAAATTGCCTCTGGTTGCTCGTTATTTTATCTTTAATAACACTATTAGTTTACTCAGGTCTGCAATTACTCCTTTTGAATCTTGCTTCTCTGCTATATCCGCCTGTATTTAAAAAAAAATAAATATTTGTTTAAAGAGACAACTTACCAAAGATTTTTAGGTGCACCATACAATGTTTACAATGTATTTTGTGTTCATCTTATTAATACTCTTCTTAATGCCAATGTTGCAATACATACTTTTATCTTTTTATCGCCAATTTGTATGTAATTTTTAATTGCTGGCAAGATCCCCCTTCTCTTCCCGCTTATTTAGCTCTCTCTTTCTCTCTTTCTTCTTCACCTCTTGTCGCTCACTCTCTCTCTCTCTCTCTCTCTCCTTCCTCTTTTTCTCTCCTTCCTCTCTATCTCTCTTTTTCTCTCTTTCTCCATCTTTCTATCTTTTCTGCTCTTTCTCTTCCTTCACTATATCTCTCGGTCTCTTATCCTTTCTTTTTTTTTTTTTTTTTACTTTCCTTCCCTCTCTCCTCCTCTTCCTCTCTCCTCTATCTCTCTCTCTCTCTCTGTCTCTCCATATGGAAACGTTTGCTTGTATTTGTCTCATAAAATAAGTTGACCACAAACTGACTCCCACACGGTGTTGAGTGCTCAGGGGTCACGGGCCACTGGCTTCATCGGGCAGGTAGTTCCATTATGTGAATGGATAAATTAACTATTACAAAATGAGGGGACACATTACATTGTACAATAGGGACACAAATTGTTATTATTGTGCAGAACATACTCTTTTATTGACTCATTGATTGCATGAAACTATAAAACCAAAATACATTTTGTATTCTAACAATTGGAGTACAAAGAATAAAAACAGGTGAATGAAATGCATAAACACCACAAACACCTGGGGAGAAAGCATTCATAAATTTGAATAATTTAGTTGATAAACGACTCCGATAAAACTATAAAACCAAAATGTAATTTGCGTTCTGGCAAGTGGAGTACAAAGAATGATAGCAGGTGAATGAAATGGTACGATCCAGTAAATTAAAACAGTAAAATGGCTCTTATTTTAAAATTACTCATTAAATAAAAACTAAAACTGCAGTGATATCAGACAAAATATGTATTATCTTACTAATAATTAAAAAAGATGTGTAAACATTGTGAAAGTGTAGCATTTTACGAAAAAAGACACCGATTTAGCGAAGATGACGTCATTAGTGCGCTTGCATCAGGGAATTCAAGGTCAAAAGGTCAATTCAGACGCTGATAAGTTATTGGTCAAGCCTTTTTGTTTCCTTTATTCCGACATAATTATACAATCAATCAAAACAAGTTTAATACCAGAAGAAAGCTAACGATTAGTATTTTCATTAACCGCTTGCCCCAAAGTCGCTTGACCACAGTGAAACGAGTGAGAGCTTGCGAGGGCGGCCAAAGTGTGATTGAAACTCGCTATTTGCTCTTCTCCAACGCAAAAAGAGACGACATTGTGCTGGATAAATGTATTTTTTCCGACAAAAGTACAGACAATTTGCATATGGTCTTTTTATATTATACTTTATGAAATGTTACCCGAGTGACTTCCGGGCGCCCCAATGCTGGAAAGAAACGCACATTTTTAGAAAACTTCACTTTTTCATGGAAAAATGCTTATTTGTTCTATGCACGCAAGTCAGATTGAGCGGATGATACAACGTTACCATATGTTCCCTTTTTAACCTCTTTTCTCTACATCCTTTCCTTCTCTCTTCCTCACTTTGAATTCATATTTTGTTGAGGTACATATTCCCCTTTTTTCTTCGTATTTTTGCTTTTGTGTTACATTTGGTACAAAATTTAGGATAAACATGTGCCATAATACGTGCACTTATAAGTATGTAATCGATACTGTTTTAATTCGTACTCTCGTTTTTAAAATGCAATGTATATCCATGTGCAATTCAGTATATGTAACTGCGATGCATGATGCAATAAATACCATACCATACCTTGGAAATAAATATCATGATATTTGCTACTTTTGCGTCCTTCCCTCCACACGGTCGCAACCCTTGTATTCCCAAATTATGCTCGGTGGTACGAAACTGTGTATACAGCGGGACAAAATTCAATTCAAAAGTAGGAATTAGATAATTGGTAACTTGTCGTGGACCGTTTTTTCCTTATAACTAGTGTAAAGCTGGAAACTTATCAAGTAAATTTGAAAATCTTTTTTCAAGGTACCACGCCAAAAAAGCACTTATATATAAACTTTAGAAGTTTATTATTTGGAAAACACACAACATTCTTAGGAAAAGACAATAAGATATTGGTTTATTATGTTCCTCGGCAGTTTTTCTTCCTAATGAAAATGTACTTTTTATTTTTTTTAATTTACACGAAACATATCGTCGCAGCGCTGACAAACTGGCGAATCGACCATTTGGAGTATTCGATATTTAGTAATTGTTGCTGGTAACCATCCGATAAAGTGTTCTTTCAAAGTACCAACGAACGATGAGCTATTATAATAGAAGTCAACAATGTCACGTAAAAGGCAAGATTTCACGACTAAGATTATTTTGCACTCATCTATTATGAATAATTATTGAATGCTACATGTAGAATGCATGGAACTTTTCCTTAAAATAAACAATAAAGGGCTGGGGAATTTTACAAAGTGGCACTACAGTGACGAATTACAGCTTATATAAAAAGCTGTAATCCGACAAACGGACGAATAGCATATTATTATGAGATTGTGTGAAGAAATAATCTGGACTTATATAGCGTTTAATACGGATTACCGTCTCTAAGCGCTCTACAAATATCATTATCCCGGTCATCTGCTTCTATCACGCACAATGTGCACCATCTCCAATCTCCAATCTCCACTCCCTGGGGAGTATTCATACCATATAGGTAATTATAAACACAAATGCTTTTGTCATCCTACCGGGTCCCCATTTCTCTCTTGGGTACTAGTGCCAAATGTAGATTAATGCCATGTTGGCTTCACGAAACCGCCTGGTGGATCTTCAAATGGTATAGGCTTTCCACCACTGAGATCTCCAGCGGCGAATTGAGTGGGTACCCGCAGATAACGATGCTGACAAAATGTAACTTTATTGATCAGGGTGTGATGCATGTTAATGTATAGCTGCACACAAACATAAGATAAATAATGAGAAGAAAGTAAGCCAACCAAATGTTTAAACATCAGCCATGTGCCTCAAGGCAAGCAGGGAAGGCACTGGAGATGTGATAATAAAATGAATTAATTTAAACTTTCTACA